AAATGTCATACGTATTTCGTATAGGTTTGTTAGCTGACATTTAACCGTAAACGGTCCAAACATGTACTATATACATTCTCTCCCGTAGTGCCCCAACTTTTTTGAGAGAAAAATAATCGTTTTTTTTTTTAATAGGAAAAAAGAGCATATGGTATCCAGGCATCCCTAATTACAGTATTTTAATATGGCACACAGCAAGTGCACACACCCATTCTCTCATGTCTAGGCGACTCAGGCTTATTGTGGCAATGTTGAATGTATGACAGAAAAAATTATATATACGTTGGGCACAGCGTAACAACATATACAGTGGATCCCGCATAACGATGGCATACCATAGCGATTTTCCGCATACGATATTTATCGCAAAATTTATGCCGCATGACGATAAAAACCCCTTACGAGTTCGTCAGAGACGCGTCCAAGTTACAGCCAAAGTCCCCTTGAAAGGCGGTATAAAAACTGAATATTTTTTTTAATGTTTTCGGTGTTTTTCTGGAATATAATTGCATTTACAAGAAAATTCTTATGTGGAAAAATGAATTTTGGAATTTAGAAGATTTTGAAGGTTTGGGCCAACCTCTGGAACGCGATTATGCACCGATTAATCCAAGGGTCCACTTGTTAATAAATTATAATTGAATCAATAACTTTATAATAATAATCTACTAAACTTAATGTACATTTATAATAATAAATTTATATATTATAACAAATATAAGAAAGATCACTCTGGATCATTTTATAAGTCCAAGTATTTCGTAAGTTGTTAGTGACATTAAACGAAAGGATCCACATAGTACTATATACATTCAATCCGATAGTGGTCCCCAACTTTTATTGAGAGAAAAATAATCGTTTTTTTTTTTCAATAGAAAGAAGAGCATATGTAATCAGGCATCCCTAATTTCAGTTTTTAATATGCAACAGTCATGTGCTAACACACACAATTCTCTCATATGTCTAGGGCGACTGCAGGATTATTTTGCAATGTTCAATGTATTTCTTAGGAAAACAAAACGTTATATATACGTTTGGGGCCACTAGCCGGTAAAACGTAATATGATATGTTTGGGCCGTTTACGGGTTAAAGCACTCCAGAGCGATTATTTTTATTATTATTATTATTATATGATTATTACCATCAACATACCTTGTTCACTGAGTTTAATCACTTCTTAACCTGCCATGATACACCGAGAATGTAAACACATATACGAACACACCAGCTAACCTCTTTACTGTGAACTTCTTTTGTACTTCTTCCATTTTCCTCTTGTTTTTCTCTTCCAAATGCTGCTGCATTTCTAACTCTGTCTTCTACTGTGGGATGCACAATAAAGTACAAATTTATAGATGAAATATGTAGTCTTGGAGATTGCTTGATGCTGAGATGCATCATTAACCCCTTTACAATGAACTTCTTTTGTACTTCTTCCATTTTCCTGTTGTTTTTCCTCTTCCAAGAGAAAAAACAACAGTAAATTTGTACAAATATGTAGTCTTGGAGACTGTGAAAGCTAGTATACTGAGTGGCTGTAGGAAGGAGATTGAGATGCTTGACGCTGAGACACTACGCTGCCCATTCATGACCCAAGTTCTTGTACATTATACAATAACTACTCATCAGAGAGCCCGTTGTAATTCCGAGTTGTCGGTAAACAAATAAGTTGGTAAGTGAGGAGAGCTGTATATTGATTTCTCATCTTTCGTCAATCCTTTCAGTGTCGCAACCCCTGCTGGCAAACTTGCTCCCAGGGTCAAAGAATTAAAAAAAAAAAAATTATCTTATGAAATGATAAAAAATCTTTTTCTGAAGGTAATGAAACCAAAAGTATGAAATTTGATTGAAAATTTACGGAATTATGCTCTCACAAAGTTAGAGGTCTCGGTGATATTTATGCATAGGCAATTTTGCCCGCTTTGTTTTATTTTTGGCCAATTCTATTGTTCCAGTTGACCAAACTCAGTATCTATTTCACTAGTATTCCTTCTATTTTATCGAGTGAGTTCCAGAAACTGCCCATTTACCTATTTCGGTACCCAATAAAGTCATCAGAAATTGGTAATTTGGCCGGTTTCACATAAAATTCAACATTTGCCACTTTGAAAATAGGATCCAGAATAAACAGTGTAGATACATTCCTGGCACTAAATAAACATTTCCTCTGCTCCTTAGTCACATCTCCAGGCCCCTCTTATATTAAGCTTACTTTTCATTTCAAATTTTTATTCACACAAAAAATAGAACATTTGCTTTTATGCAGACTACTGCATTATTGTAATAATTATATACATAATGTAGGTGCATTCCTAAATGCATATTAGACTGGCCAGCTGGATGCATATTGGACAAGCGACATCATTTGTGTGTATTCTGGAATATCGGCAAAAATCGAACATTTCTGCTACTTTGAGCTCAATTTCAAGCTACTTACAGTTCTGAAATTAATCAAAATCATATCTATTTCTGTAATAAATCTTCCATTCTATTAAATGAGACCAAGAAACTGAGAATACAACCACACATATGGTGTACACTTACTGCATAGACCCATTCTCTCATATCTAGGTGCCCAAATTTACCACTTACAGCTTATCCGAGTGAGCAGAACTTATGGCATCATACTACTGGACCAACACTGGCTTGAAAGCCATGATACAACAGGACTGACACTAAAAAGGTTAAGTTTAGATGTTGGATCACTTTGTTACATCACTCACTCCAGCTTCAACTTTGAACCAGTCACTCTCATGTATCTGTTCTCTTTACTTTTAAAGTTCTTGAATGGTTCACTAATCCTGCTTTATGCAATTCAGGTATATCACATGCACTACATTTTACAACTTGTTAATAATAACTACAGTAATAATAATTTTACTGTATATTGCTGATACTTGGATTTCCTTGTGAATATACCTCATGAGGATAGCTAAAGCATAAAATCCTTCAAGGAAAATTGTCATATGTACTTGTCTAACTTGTTCTTTTCATATATCTAACCTTTATAGTACACACTGTTCTTGTTTTCCTTAATTTTTCCTTTTTATGACTTGTGGTAAGCCCATTCTGAAACTGATTTCACTAAGTATATTGAGAGTGAAATGCATTACTGTACAGTATATGAATGTTTCTGTGGTCTTTGGATTAGCTCTGTCTACTCCATGATTCCCTATTTTTTGTTCAAATTGTGAAAAAATATTCTCTTTTGCATTTTTGCATTATGGAAAGATTAACACATACTGTGATTGGTTAAATTTGTTTTGTTTATCTTGAGCAAATAACACATGAAAAGAATTTTTTTTTTTTAACAAGTCGGCCGTCTCCCACCGAGGCAGGGTGACCCAAAAAGAAAGAAAATCCCCAAAAAGAAAATACTTTCATCATCATTCAACACTTTCACCTCACTCACACATAATCACTGTTTCTGCAGAGGTGCTCAGAACACAACAGTTTAGCAGCATATACGTATAAAGATACACAACATATCCCTCCAAACTGCTAATATCCCGAAACCCCTCCTTTAGAGTGCAGGCATTGTACTTCCCATTTCCAGGACTCAAGTCCGGCTATATAAAAATAACCGGTTTCCCTGAATTCCTTCACTAAATATTACCCTGCTCACACTCCAACAGATCGTCAGATCCCAAATACCATTTGTCTCCATTCACTCCTATCGAACACGCTCATGCACGCCTGCTGGAAGTCCAAGCCCCTCGACCACAAAACCTCCCTTACCCCTTCCTTCCAACCTTTTCGAGGATGACCTCTACCCCGCCTTCCTTCTCCTACAGATTTAAATGCTCTCCATATCATTCTACTTTGATCCATTCTCTCTAAATGACCAAACCACCTCAACAACCCCTCTTCAGCCCTCTGACTAATACTTTTATTAACTCCACACCTTCTCCTAATTTCCACACTCCGAATTTTCTGCATAATATTTACACCACACATTGCCCTTAGACAGGACATCTCCACTGCCTCCAACCGCCTCCTCGATGCTGCATTTACAACCCAAGCTTCACACCCATATAAGAGTGTTGGTACTACTATACTTTCATACATTCCCTTCTTTGCCTCCATAGATAACGTTTTTTGACTCCACATATACCTCAATGCACCACTCGCCTTTTTTCCCTCATCAATTCTATGATTAACCTCATCCTTCATAAATCCATCCGCTGACACGTCAACTCCCAAGTATCTGAAAACATTCACTTCTTCCATACTCCTCCTCCCCAATTTGATATCCAATTTTTCTTTATCTAAATCATTTGATACCCTCATCACCTTACTCTTTTCTATGTTCACTTTCAACTTTCTACCTTTACACACACTCCCAGACTCATCCACTAACCTTTGCAATTCTTCTTTAGAATCTCCCATAAGCACAGTATCATCAGCAAAAAAGTAACTGTGTCAATTCCCATTTTGTATTTGATTCCATTTACAGAGTACTGTATAAAAGGAGGTCTGGTTAACTTCTCACCTCTCTTTTATTTATATACTCTCATCTGTCTTTGTCTGTTGAAATCTTTCTCTTAGTATTTCACCTCTCTCTAATCCCTACTCCTATGCCATCCAGATTCCAAGCTGCTTACTGCTTCTCCCTTTCTCAGCTTAACAACTGCTTACACCTGTCTATTGATTAGATAATGTTTATAAATTTACTTAGAAGTCACAGGTCTCCTCAGATTTGACTATTTCAACTGTTTCCTGCATCAGCAGTCCATGCATGCATGTACATGCATATGTGTAATTGTGTATATATATATATATATAAATCACACATGTGCATGTGCGCACGCACGTACACACACACACACACACACACACACACACACACACACACACACACACACACACACACACACACACACACACACACACACACACGCACGCTGTGAATCGACCCCTGCAACCACATATAGGCGAGTACACACACACAGTGAGTGAGTTATAGGTATATACAGTATAGTGTATATTATTTTTTCAGCATGCTCCTGGTGTTCCCAAGGTATTAATAGGTAATCGGCTTCATTTGGCATTCAAGAGACAAGTAAGCCAGAGTCAAGCAGAACAGTATGCTGCCAAGAATCATGTGAATCTGTTTGAAGTTAGTCCTCTGTGTGACTTTAACATTGTAGAAAGCTTCACGGAGCTGTCTAGATTGGCTCTTAAACGCAATGGCATGGAACGACTGTGGAGAGCAAATAAAGGTGAGGAGGTGGTAAAGGTTTATTTTTATCCCAGGAATTTGTTGGTTTAAGTTTTCAATTGAAACTTGTATACTTGATTTTTCTTCCAAAAAAAAAAAATTGTGTGTACTATATCAGTGTCTTTCTTAATGTATCGACAGTTTGCTATGTAAAACAAATTAAACCCTTTTAAAAGGTTTTATGATCCTTTAAAGATATGAGATTGATTATTGCATCTGGATACACACACTTTAAGCCTTGTGATTGCTGCTAGGCTATTTAACCTTTTCACTGTCAAGACCTCTACTTACAAACTTGCTCTCAGTGTCGAAAAATATTTAAAAAAAAAATTTGTTCTTACGAAAATCTTAAGAATAATTTTCTACATGTTATAAAAGAAATTTCTTTTTTTTAGCGATCAGTAGTTACTGAGATATAGAGGTGTGAAGTTGACAGAAAGTGAACCGCTTACGGGAACATTGGCAACTGCCGCTCACTCAGTATTATTATTTTTACTTTTATTCTATTTTTTCTTTTCTAATATTTTATTTTTTCAAGTAACTTTTGTGGCCTATGAGACCAATACAGTGGAACCTCAAAAATCGAACTGCTCCCAACTCGACCAATTATGTAAGTGTATTTTTGTAAGTGCTTTTATAAGTGTATTTTTGAAGGTCTGAAATGGACTAATCTAATTTACATTATTCCTGATGAGAATAAATTCGTTTGGTAGCGACACTTGAACAGCCTTCTGGACCGAAGAAAGTTCTATATTTGAGGTTCCACTGTATAATGCATAATGTATACACAGTGGTACCTCGAGTTATGACTTAATTCGTTCCAGAAGGCTGTTTGAGTGCCGATACCAAACTAATTTGTTCTCACAAAGAATAATGTAAATTAGATTAGTCTGTTTCAGACCCCCAAAAATACACTTACAAAAGCACTTAGAAAAATACACTTACATAATTGTTCGAGTTGGGAGCTATTCGAAACTCGAGGTACCACTGTATATCCACTCATATGCAACACAATAACCACACAAATATTATCATTATATTGTTTACAAAACTTGTTTACACAAACCCACTCTGTCTTCCCCACCACCCATGCTGCCTTCCCTACCAGTCATGCTGGAAATACATCACTTTGAATTTTTTTTGGGTTATCCTAGGTAATCTACACATATGCTGCTATGTATGATAATCTATATAACTGTATTCGTGTATACCTGAATAAACTTTCTTACACCCCATCTTCCCAACCACCCATGCTGTCTTCCACACCCACACCATCTTCCCCACCATCCACGCTGCCTTCCCCACCATCCACACTGCCTTCCCCACCATCCATGCTGCCTTCCCCACCATCCACACTGCCTTCCCCACCATCCACGCTGCCTTCCCCACCACCCACGCTGCCTTCCCCACCACCCACTCTCCCTTTCCCACCACCCATGTTGCCTTCCTCACCACCCACACTAGAAATAAGTCACTTTGACTTGTTTGGGTTATCTTAAGTAATCTACACATGCTGCTGTGTATAATAATCTGTGTAACTATTTGTTTATACCTGAATAAACTTACACGCTGTCTTCCCTGCCCACACCATCTTCCCCACCATCCACGCTGCCTTCCCTACCACCCACGCTGTCTTCCCTTTTCACTGTCTGTATCTGGTATCCTGGGCATTGCTTTCGGTCACAAACTCCTCAAAACCATGAAATTCATCTTCACTGACACTTCCTTCTGTGTTAGGACTATCACTTGGGAAGAGAAGAGTCCCAGATTCACTGGGGAGTGAGGTGTTCCTTATTGCTAGGCATCGTGAACAAGGCGTACTGAATTGGCATTCCCACAATGCACTGCAGCCTCCCAGATTATTTTCATACTGCACACACAGACCCATTCTCTCACATGTAGACCTACCAGTTTTCTGAAGCTTCTAGAATTTTGGCATGGTATTACGGGACCGACACTGGCTTGCAAGCCATAATATTATGGGACCGACAGTGAAAGGGCTAATGGTTACTTGTATGTGTTTTTTTTTTTTCCCCCAGGCCATTAGTATATGCAATACACTTTCTGTGGGCATGGAGAGTTTTTAATTTTTATTCATATTGTCTCTCATTCCTGGTTGTTGTAAGACCAGGCCTGCGGGTCACCTGTAATGTAACTGGACATTTTCTTATAGTTGATAGCAGTCATCCTGCTGTTTCCCAAAATACAGTCACATGCAATGAGTCCAGTACATGTACGTGTATCTATCACTCCTTCTGCATGTCTTCCCTTCATTTGAATAAGTCTTCCTACTAATTAGCTCTGTCATTAGAATCTTCCATTGTCCTTTTAGCTATTGACAATTTTTAACACTTCATCAGAGTATTGCTGAGAAAGAGCAGGAGGATAACATTTTCATTATCACATTTCATACTTTATAAGACTAGGTTCATATTGTCTATGGGGACTGGATAGAATATAAGCTTGAGAGGCAAACTGCAGGCAGTTTGTGGCTTATTCATCATGGTCAGACACCATGGCAATGAAGGGTTTTTCATCCAAGAAGCAACTTTTCTCCACTTCCTTGGATCAAACCCGAATGCCTTTTATTCCCCAGGCACTATGGTTTCACCTCTACAGGTTGGGCTCTGCCCTATTGATGTAATAATAATAAGAATGTGTGGCCTGGGATTAAAAGATAATGAATCTAATACAAAGCAGGAGTTGTCACAGTTGCTTTTTGCTGATGATACAACTCCTTCATTGCAAAGGTTGATTAATAAATTTGGAAGGGCATGTAAAAGAAAAATTAAAAATGAGCATAGCAAAGAGCAAGGTAATGAGAGTAAAAAAAAAGTAACTAAGGCAATGAGGATTGGATGTTAGATTGGAGGGAGGGAGTGTGGAGGAAGCAAATGTATTGAGACATTCAGGGGTGGATTTATTGGCAGGTGGGTCTATGAAAAATGAGGTGTACCACAGATTTGAAGTCTCTGTGGAGACAGAACCTTATCCATGAAGGCAAAAAAGGGAATGTATCAGAGTATAGTGGTAGTAACACTCTTATGTGGGCATGAGGATTAGGTTTTAAACACTGCAGTGAGGTAAAGGTTGGAGGCAGTGGATACATATTAAAGGGTAATGTGGGTTGTGAATGTGGTGTTATGCAAAGATTTCACAGCTTGGAGATTAAAAGAAGGTGTGGAGTTACTAAGAGTATTATTCAAAGGGCAGAGGAGAGGTTGTTGAGGTGGTTTGGACATATAGAGAAGATGGAGCAAAATAGAAAGACTAAGAGGGCATATAAATCTGGGTTAGAGGCAAGATGGATAGGGGTCCTCCCAGGAAAGGTTGGAAGGAAGGGCTAAGGGAGGCTTCGAGTAATAGGGACTTGGATATCCAACAGGCTTGTGTTATATTTATGAGGAAATTCAAGGAAACTGGTAAGTTAGACATGAACCTGGAGGTGGTGCCTGCACTCTGAAGGAGGGGTGGAGATGTTACAGTTTAGAAAGTTATCCAAGATATGACGTTGGCATGCTTCGGGCAAGACAGTGATTGAATGAATGATGGCAGAAGAGTTTCTCCTTTTTTTTGGGTCCTCCTGCATTGGTGGGAGACTGCTATTGTGTTAAAAAAATATTGAAAACCTAATAAAAATAATAATGTCCAAGGGGCTTGGACATAACACTAAGCAGGTGAGAGTTTATTTGATAGGAGTGACAAATGATTTTTGGGACTTGACATGCTGTTGGAGTATGAGCAAGGTAATATTTTGTGAAGGGATTTAGGGAAACCAGCTAGCTGGAATTTGAGTCCTGGAGGTGGGAAGTGCAGTGCCTGTACTCTAAAGGCAGAGTTCGGGATATTTCTGTTTGTAGGGACATCTGAATTGTCGTATCTGGGGTCACACTGCCTTTGTGGGAGACAGCCAACATGTTAAAAAAAAAAAAACTGTAGTGGCAACAGCAACTTTGTTGAGATGGTTTATTTATTCAGAAAAAATGAACCATAATACATTGAAATCTCGGCTTACAAACTTAATCCGTTCCGTGGACTTGTTCGTATCCTGATTTGTTCGTATGCTGGGCCAATTTTCCTTGAATGAATAAAATATGTCATTATGTGGACAGCAGAGGGAGGAGGATTGTGGTCGAACATTCTAGCTATGAAAATGTCAGAGGTGTTATAAGAGAAAACAGAGTTTGTGAGGCTAACTGAATAACAAAAAAAGGCACAATACGTTGACTGGAACGATACACTACTACTACCTTCCACCTCCACTACTGCCACCACCACCACCACCACCACCACCACCACCACCACCACCACCACCACTACTACTACTACCACCACCACCTGCCTATATATACCCATCCTGCTCTCCTTTTCGTTAGTGTGACTTTGTAAATGGTCCAAGTCGGACTGAAATGTCGTCGTAGGCTCCTCTCTTCTGTGGGCAGGTTATTGGTGTAGGCTAACTGAATTAGATCTGGTGTACACACGACATTTACATATCTTGGAGAAGAAATGCAGAGCGGCATATCCTGTCAGGAGTTCACACTTTTCTGAAGGACTGCTATGTACAATTTTTATGTTTATCTTGCTACACTATGTGTGTCCTGTGAGCTGTTTCTCCGTCAACCATGTCAACAATTATTGTAATGCCCTTTGCTGGTGCTATAGCCTTTATACACTCCTGCTTTAGTATTGCACATATAGTAGATTATTATTATTATTATTAGTATTTTATTATTGTAATCATGGGGAAGTGCTAAACCCATAGGTACATATAGTAGAGGGGCTATGTTTGTACTGCGGAACCTCAAAAATCGAACTTAATCCGTTCCAGGAGCAATATTTCCCATAAGCAATATTCCCGAAGCAATATTTCCCATAAGAAATAATGGAAATACAATTAATCCGTTCCAGAAACCCAAAAATATTCACACAAAAAATACATTTTGTAGAGATTAATTACAGTTTTACATACAACAAATACTATAGTTTTTAATTATGTATAGTAATACATATAAAATAACATTTTTACTTACCTATATTGAAGATTGGTGATGGCATCTGGAAGATAGGAAGGAGGTGAGAGGGAGTTGGGGTTAGTGTTTGGAAGGAGAATCCCCCTCCATGAGGACTTCAGGTAAAGCCCTCTCTGGGGTTACTTCCCTTCTCTGTCTTTTAATGCCACTAGGACCAGCTTGAGAGTCACTGGACCTCTGTCTCGCAAAATAACTGTCCACAGTCCTCTGTTTCTGGCGTCTCTTTAACATTTCCCTAAAATGGGACATGGTTCTGTCACTGAACTTGTTGCAAAGATGGCTTGTTTCAGCTTGCTCAGGGTGGTACTTCTTCACAAACATTTGGACATCATTCCACTTGGCACAAATCTCCTTAATCTTTGAAGGAGGCACCTCATCCACTCCCTATATTAACACCTTTCGCAGCATCAGCTTCCTTGATTTGTTCTTTCTTTGACAGGATAAAACCGATGGCCGACTTGTTTTTCCCATACATCCTGGCAAGCTCAACAAGTCTCACACCTCTCTCATACTTCTGTATTATTTCCTTCTTCACATCTATGGTGTTTCTCACTTTCTTTACCACAGGGGTACCACTAGCAAGTTTTTTTTGGGCCCATGGCAGCTTATTTCATAGTCCCACAAGCACTAAACACAACGAAATAATCGTAAAATGCATGAATGAGAGCGCAGGTTAGTGTTCACTCAAGCATAAACAAAGCTAGACTACTCACGGCGCCTGCGCGGGGACGCAGACAGAGTGGGCGGCAGACAGGTCCCATACCTGGTGGTCCGAAAATTGGGGCGCGTTCGATAATAGGGACACAGTTTGTCCGAAAAAATGGTCCTATTTTCGAAACGTGTGATATGTGATACGCTCAATTTTTGAGGTTCCACTCTACTCAACTCGCCAAGTCCTCAACCCTTGTACCTAGTCTGTGCTTATTAATCATTTCTTGCTTTAATTCCATGAAAATCATCCTCTTTTTCTTCTCGGCACTGTCCTTTGCACTTGCTTCCTTAGGACCCATGATTAGAAGAAAGAAAATTGGCGAATTAACTGCACGAAACATAAGGAAATCGCAAGAATTCCTTGAACTGCGAGGGTAGCTCCATAACCACATGTGCACTGGTGAGCATTGTGGTGGTGCTGTCTAACTAAATTATACACAGTACCTACATAGTATTATTATTATAATTATTATTATTGTATTATTACTTCTTTTTTTTTAACAAGTCGGCCATCTCCCACTGAGGCAGGGTGACCCAAAAAGAAAAAAAATCCCCAAAAAGAAAATACTTTCATCATCATTCAACACTTTCACCTCACTAACACATTATAACTCTTTTTGCAGAGGTGCTCAGAACACAACAGTTTAGAAGCATATACGTATAAAGATACATATCCCTCCAAACCACCAATATCCCAAACCTCTCCTTTAAAATGCAGGCATTGTACTTCCCATTTCCAGGACTCAAGTCTGGCTATATAAAAATAAATGGTTTCCCTGAATCCCTTCACTAAATATTATGGACCTGGAGCACAGATTCAATTCCCTAGATAAAGAGCCCCTCACCACGTTACTACTACTTCTACTACTACTACTACTACTACTACTACTACTACTACTACTACTACTACTACTACTACTACCTACTTACTACTACTACTACTACTACTACTATACTACTACTACTACTACTACTACTACTTACTACTACTACTACTACTACTACTACTACTACTACTACTACTACTACTATTACTACTACTACTACTACTACTTTCTTCTAATGATACAGTATGATTAGTAATAATATAATTCTAGGTAGTAGGTTGGTAGACAGCAACCGTCCGGAGGTACTTTCCGTTCCTGCCAAGTGTTAAACGAAGCCTGTAATTGTTTTACATGATGGTAGGATTGCTGGTGTCCTTTTTTCTGTTTCATAAACATGCAAGATTTCAGGTACGTCTTGATACTTCAACATACACTTAGGTCACACTGCATATACATGTACAAGCATATATATGCATACCCCTCTGGGTTTTCTTCTATTTTCTTTCTAGTTCTTGTTTACTTCCTCTTATCTCCATGGGGAAGTGGAACAGAATTCTTCCTCCATAAGCCATGCGTGTTGTAAGAGGCGACTAAAATGCTGGGAGCAAGGGGCTAGTAACCTCTTCTCCTGGATATATTACTAAATGTAAATGGAGAAACTCGTTTTTCCTTTTGGGCCACCCCGCCTCAGTGGGATATGGCCGGTGTGTTGAAAGAAGAAAGAAGTAATAATATTAATAATAACAGTAAGGAGAAACTTCAAAAGGCTGTCAGTAGTTGGCGCCACCATCAGCAAAACATTGGTAACCACTGCTAGTACACTTTTCACCTGTCTAGAGTTAAGTAGTCTATTAGTATATTAGGTTAAGTCTGCCCGAAATACCTCAGCTTGATAGTGGCTTTCTTTGCTCCAATCATATTATATGTAAGCACATATTGTAACCTTTGCAAAGAAATAACTATTTTATTTATTAACTTATTTAAGGAACCTCCCTCGAGGGGGTAAGTTCGCAACTTGAAATTTCCTTCGTATCCAGAAGCAAAAAATTGACCGAACGATGGTTCGTATCCTGAAAAATTCGCATGGTGGGGCATTCGTAAGCCGAGGTTCCACTGTAGCTTGTTTAAGAGAGAGTATAAATGTTGAGTGGATGGACAGTGGTGTCCAAGGAAGAAATATATAGAAGGTTCAGTATATAGAACTTGGGACTTGAATATTCAGCAGTGAGTGGAGGAGAGTGGTCTTAGATTCGTTGTGGTGTTGGATTTAGAAAACTGTCTAGCGTTACTTGAGTAATGGAATTGGCTGCACTTAGAAATTTGGGTGGAGATTTTGCAGTTATGAGAATCAGCATTGCATCTTAGTTTGTACCACAATGGAAAGGCTGTGTCTTCTTCCTTGGAGCCCTTATGGGAAATGAATGTGTGGCACAATTAATCTGTGTTCCTTTTAAGCTGCACACCTGTGTGGATGTGCCATACAGGTGTACAGTGCAGTCTCAGTGATTGGCAACATTGAATCTGTGACTTGTTTGTATTTCATTGACTGGTATGTTTTTTTATAATTATTTGTTGCTGTACATTAGTCATTCTTCTTTGCCTATGGGCTATGGTTACTACACACATGACATTTATGCTTCATATTCAGTTATTACTGATAGCCCACATGTGTATATTGCTTCCACACTTGTGTAAATATTGTTTTCATCTGCATATGACTGGAAAAAAATGAGGAAACACTGCTTGTAATGATTATCTGTTTTAAGTAGCAGTTTACTCGAGTCAGACATAAACCTAGTGTCTCAAGAGTCTCTCAGCCCACACTATTTCTTCTTCACTCTCAACCATTTCATATCAGGCAGGTATCACAGTCGGTTCAGACAAAGTGAGCTTTCAAAGTCAGCATTTTTGTCTTGTAGTTTTGATAATTTTCTTACATCTGCAAGTGTTCAATGTATAACCTAGAGATAAAAACAAAAAGGTTTCTGGTAACACACTGTAACAACCACGACCATGAGTAGAAGTCCTCAGGTTGTTCTTCAACTCTGTATATCCTTGGTTAGGCCTCAGTTAGACTATGCTGCTCAGTTCTGGTCACCGTATTACAGAATGGATATATGTAAATGCTCTGGAAAACGTACAGAGGAGGATGACAAAGATGATCCCATGTATCAGAAATCTTCCCTATGAGGATAGACTGAGGGCCCTGAATCTGCACTCTCTCAAAAGGCGTAGAATTAGGGGGGATATGATCGAGGTGTATAAATGGAAAACAGGAATAAATGAAGGGGATGTAAATGGCGTGCTGAAAATTTCCAGCCAAGACAGGACTCGCAACAGTGGTTTCAAGTTGGAAAAATTCAGATTCAGGAAGGATATAGGAAAGCACTGGTTTGGTAATAGAGTTGTGGACAAGTGGAACAAGCTCCCGAGTACAGTTATTCAGGCTAAAACGTTGTGTAGTTTTAAAAATAGGTTGGATAAATACATGAGTGGGTGTGGGTGGGTATAAGTTGGACCTGACTAGCTTGTGCTGCTGGATCTGGCGCCATGCTCCTTCCTTGAGTGGAGGTGACCAGACTGGGTGGGTCATTGGGCTAATCCGGGGAGGGTGGGTCATTGGGTTAATCTGGGGGGAGGGGGGGGGCATGGACCTGCTCCGCATGGGTCAGTAGGCCTGTTGCAGTGTTCATTCTTTCTTATGTTCTTATGAGTACTGATCTCTTCATTAATATTTCTCAAGATTCTTAGTGCAATTCAGTACATTACCTTCAAGGGAAGTGTCTTGATGCTGAAGGACTTTTGATCCAAGGCATTGGAGCTACCCATTTTCTTCTTGGATCACGCCTGATTATCTCCTGTTCTCTAGGCACTGCATGACCCATAAGGGTTTAGTGCTTCCCTTGGATTGTAATATTAATACAGTACATTCATTGTTTAAACAATTTCTTTTAATCCTGCAGTGCTAACGCTGCAAGAATTATGCAGTCGTGCCATTGTAGCAACAACTACTGTGTATGGGATTGAACATCTGCCACTTCCACAGCCTATCAAGTCACATCTCAAAAGTTATACTATTCACAACCACACCACCCGACTCAGACAGGTTAGTAGAATGTTTGACTTGTAGGGTCATGTAAGTGGCTCATACAGGTGGAAATTGTTAATGATTGATTTTATTGGTCTTTCCATATGGTAGTGTGCTAAAATGTTGCCTTGCATGTCTTGCGTTTAGAGACTGGTGGTAAACTTGTATATGCAGTAAATCGGCAAAAATCTATCTGAACATAATGAAAGCAATATCAATCATTGATTTTAATTAAAAGTCAGTAAATTAAAACTGATTTTGCATATGTTTAGTAGGAGTGGGCTAAAATTAATTATGTGTACATTATGAAACAATGTCAGTTTTGATTCAGTTTTGTATTTTCAAAGTGTTTATGAAAATAAAATTATAGTACATTGTTCATTATTTTATTTTGAATATTTTTGCTGTTGCAAATGAGAGTACATAGCCCTGTCAGTATTTAAAGATTATTATTATTATTTATAACACCGGCCATTTCCCACTAAGTAAGGGCTGACTCAAAAAATCACATTTTTCTCTTTACATTTAGTAATTTCCTAGGTAGTAGGCTGGTAGACAGCAACCGCCTAGGGAGGTACTACTGTCCTGCCAAGTGAGTGTAAAACGAAAGCCTGTAATTGTTTTACATGATGGTAGGATTGCTGGCGTCCTTTTTTCTGTCTCATGAACATGCAAGATTTCAGGTACGTCTTGCTACTTCTACTTACACTTAGGTCACACTACACATACATGTACAAGCATATATATACACACCCCTCTGGGTTTTCTTCTATTTTCTTTCTAGCCATTTGTGAGTTTGGAGGAAGTTCGTGAGGCAGTAGGTAAAATGAAAGGGGGTAAGGCAGCTGGGATTGATGGGATAAAGATAGAAATGTTAAAAGCAGATGGCGATATAGTTTTGGAGTGGTTGGTGCTATTATTTAATAAATGTATGGAAGAGGGTAAGGTACCTAGGGATTGGCAGAGAGCATGCATAGTTCCTTTGTATAAAGGCAAAGGGGACAAAAGAGAGTTCAAAAATTATTGGGGGAGAAGTCTGTTGAGTATACCTGGTAAAGTGTATGGTAGAGTTATTATTGAAAGAATTAAGAGTAAGACGGAGAATAGGATAGCAGATGAACAAGGAGGCTTTAGGAAAGGTAGGGGGTGTGTAGACCAGGTGTTTACAGTGAAACATATAAGTGAACAGTATTTAGATAAGGCTAAAGAGGTTTTTGTGGCATTTATGGATTTAGAAAAGGCATATGACAGGATGGATAGGGGGGCAATGTGACAGATGTTGCAGGTGTATGGTAGGTTACTGAAAGCAGTGAAGAGTTTTTACGAGGATAGTGAGGCTCAGGTTAGAGTATGTAGGAAAGAGGGAGATTATTTCCCAGTAAAAATAGGCCTTAGACAAGGATGTGTGATGTCACCGTGTTTGTTTATTATATTTATGGATGGGGTTGTAAGAGAAGTAAATGCGAGGGTCTTGGCAAGAGGCGTGGAGTTAAAAGATAAAGAATCACACATAAAGTGGGAGTTGTCACAGTTGCTCTTTGCTGATGACACTGTGCTCTTGGGAGATTTTGAAGAGAAGTTGCAGAGGTTGGTGGATGAATTTGGTAGGGTATGCAAAAGAAGAAAATTAAAAGTGAATACAGGAAAGAGTAAGGTTATGAGGATAACAAAAAGATTAGGTGATGAAAGATTGGATATCAGATTGGAGGGAGAGAGTATGGAGGAGGTGAATGTATTCAGATATTTGGGAGTGGACGTGTCAGCGGATGGGTCTATGAAAGATGAGGTGAATCATAGAATTGGTGAGGGGAAAAGGGTGAGCGGTGCACTTAGGAGTCTGTGGAGATAAAGAACTTTGTCCTTGGAGGCAAAGAGGGGAATGTATGAGAGTATAGTTTTACCAACGCTCTTATATGGGTGTGAAGCATGGGTGATGAATGTTGCAGCGAGGAGAAGGCTGGAGGCAGTGGAGATGTCATGTCTGAGGAGCAATGTGTGGTGTGAATATAATGCAGAGAATTCGTAGTTTGGAAGTTAGGAGGAGGTGCGGGATTACCAAAACTGTTGTCCAGAGGGCTGAGGAAGGGTTGTTGAGGTGGTTCGGACATGGAGAGAGAATGGAGCAAAACAGAATGATTTCAAGGGTGTATCAGTCTGTAGTGGAAGGAAGGCGGGGTAGGGGTCAGCCTAGGAAAGGTTGGAGAGAGGGGGTAAAGGAGGTTTTGTGTGCGAGGGGCTTGGACTTCCAGCGGGCATACATGAGCGTGTTTGATAGGAGTGAATGGAGACAAATGGTTTTTAATACTTGACGTGCTGTTGGAGTGTGAGCAAAGTAACATTTATGAAGGGATTCAGGGAATCCGGCAGGCCGGACTTGAGTCCTGGAGATGGGAAGTACAGTGCCTGCACTCTGAGGGAGGGGTGTTAATGTTGCAGTTTAAAAACTGTAGTGTAAAGCACCCTTCTGGCAAGACAGTGATGGAGTAAATGATGGTGAAAGTTTTCCTTTTTTGGGCCACCCTGCCTTGGTGGGAATCGGCCAGTATGTTAATATAAAAAATAATAATAATTCTTACTCTTATTTCCTCTTATCTCCATGGGGAAGTGTAACAGAATTCTTCCTCTGTAAGCCATGCGTGTAATAAGAGGCGACTAAAATGCTGGGAGCAAGGGGCTAGTAACCCTTTCTCCTGTATATATTACTAAATGTGAAAGGAGAAACTTACATTTTTCCTTTTGGGCCACCCCGCCTCTGTGTGATACGGCTGGTGTGTTGAAAGAAGAATACATGCAAGGTTTCAGGTATGTCTTGCTGCTTCTATTTATGCTTAGGTCACAAAATGCATAAGTGTACAGGCATATATATAGACACCCCTCTGGGCTATCTTCTATTTTCTAGTGGTTCATGGTTTATTTCCACTTATCTTCATAGGGAAGTGGAACAAAATTCTTCCTCCATAAGTCATGCATGTCATTGGAGGCAGCTAAAATTCTGGGAGTAAGGGGCAAGTAACCCCTTCTCCTGTGTATATATTACTCAATTTAAAAAGAGAAACTTTCATTTTTCTTTTTGCTCTACCCTGCCTTGCTGGGATACAGCTCATTGCTCCCGGCATTTTAGTTGACTTTTACAAGACGCGTGGTTTACGGAGGAAAGATTCTTATTCCACTTCCCCATGGATATGAAAGGAAAAGGAACAAGAATTAAGATAAAATCAAAGAAAACTCAGATGAGTGTGTGTATACATAAACATGTACATGCATGTGTAGTGTGACCTAAGTGTAAGTAGAAGTAGCAAGACGTACCTGAAATCTTGCATGTTTACGAGACAAAAAAAAAGACACCAGCAATTCTACCATCACGTAAAACGAATACAGGCTTCTGTTTTACACTCACTTGGCAGTACAGTAGTATCTCCCTGGGTGGTTGCTGTCTACCAACCTACTACCTTTTTGGGTTTTTTCTTTCTTTTTGGGTTACCCTGCCTCGGTGAGAAACGGCCAACGTGTTAAAAAAAAAATCATTGTTGTCTTACAGAAGTTTCATATTAGGGTGTGCATGAGAACAGAGTAATCTTTTCCAGTAAAATATGGCATTAGGCAGGAGTTTGTGATGTCACCATGATTGCCTAATGTATTTATATATCTGGAGATTAAACAATTGAATGCTTAAGTGATGGGGAGATAGGTGCAGGCTTGAAAGGTATCGAATCTTATGTAAAAGAGGTTTCACAGTTTTTTTGCTGATGGCACAGTGCTTTTGGAAGATTCAAAAAAGTTGCAGAGGTTAGGTGTAGTAGTTTGGGATGGTGTGTAAACAAAGGAATCTGAGAATAAAACATAAGTGTGAGGTGATCAGAATAAGAAGTTTAAGCAATGAAAGACTGAATGTCAGGCTGGAGGGAGGAGTATGGATGAAGTGAATGTATTCAGATACTGTATTCGGGAGTGGATGTCTATAAAAGATAAGCTGAATTGTAGACTGAAGGAAGGTAGCTGGAGTGTTGAGGGGTGTGGAAAAAATTAATTAATCCATAGTGTAGGTGTAAGGCATGGCCTGACACCCAGAAAGATTTTGTGTGTGCATGTGTGTGTGTGTGTGTGTGTGTGTGTGTGTGGTGTGTGTGTGTGTATGTGTGTGTGTGTGTGTGTGTGTGTGGTGTGTGTGTGTGTGTGTGTGTATGTGTAACATGTGTGTGTGTGTGTGTGTGTGTAAGTGTGTGTGTAAGTAAGAGTGTAAGTGTAACATGTTGGCTGTTTCCCACCGAGGCAGGGTGAACCAAAAGAAAGAAAAACCCAAAAAGACAGAAAAAACTTTCATTATTATTCAACACTTTCACCATCACTCATACATAATCACTGTCTTTGCAGAGGCACTGAGGTACAACAGTTTAGATAGTCACTGATCTGCCAATATCCCAAACCCCTTCTCTAAAGTGCAGGCATTGTACTTCCCATTTCCAGGACTCAAGTCTGGCTAACTGGTTTCTCTGTTGTTGTTGTTAAAGATTCGCCGGTATTCTCCCGGCCCGGGCCCTTCCAAGTGGTGGCCCGGCACTGGCTTCCTGTCTAGAGAGTGTCTGAGACCCAAGTCTCCCATGGGAGGAGGCACAACTACTCCCCTCATCTTGTGAGCTGCAAACTTGGGCTCTGGCACCAACCCTGCCCTAGAAGGGCAGGGCATGGTGTCGATCATGCTAGCGCTGTGCTCTCCTGTGTGGAGTGTCGTGTGTTGGTGTTCATTTTCATTCATTCATTCATGTTGATGATCCGGTACTTCCGGCCCAGGTCTTCTCCAGATGGTGACCCGACAGTGGCCCCCCGGGTGGGGGGTGACGTCGTCTTCTATCTTGCGCTGACTTCCCCGAAGAGAAGCGCAGTCGGGCAGAGGCAGCAGTTACAGGGTCGATTGGAGCCACACCCCAGCTTTAGCGGACAGCAAAGTGCTGGGGAAACTTATCTTCATGGTGAATGGTCATGGGTAGTCGTGCTAGAGGAGGGTACTGTCTTCAAGGTCCCCATTCTGAAGCATCCTGAAATTCCTCTTTGAGGTGTACTCGACTTCCACAAGGTGTTGGGTGTTGGCAGTGAGTAGTCTGGTCATGTCTGCAGTGGTGTATGTAACAGTTTGGTCGTAGGTATACTTGACTGTTCCGTCCTGGAGGTGCTGATGGATTTCTGAAGACAGCATTCTGTTCTTATACTGCTTGGTTGTGTAGAAGTATACACCCTTCAGGCATCGGACTTGTGGTGCAGCAGTGTCAGTGTCAGTGGCACCGTGAGGTGCATCCGCAGTTTCTTGTGTTTTTGCTTTCTTGGCTGGTGGCTGAACTGGTGAAGGCGAGATTTTCCGACTGGTCAGTTGCTCTAGCAATGGATGCAAGCGGTAGTGGACTCTCATTGGTGGGGTTTGCCGACATCTCAGTGGTCTCTGATTGGTCCATCTCTGTGTCTAGTGGAGGTTGTGACAGCGGTGGAGCAGCGGTGATGCTGGTAATATTTGCAGTAGATTATAGGATCTCAGTGATGCAGGGAATGTGAGGCCAGACATATTATTTAGTTTGAAAAGTTCATTGATGGTGGTGTTGAAGGAACCAGGCTCAGCTGCATTCTGTACATGAGCATTAATAATGCAATAAAGAATCTTGGTGGAGTCGGCAGTAGGTGCTGGCAGGGAAGTGGTGGGAGCAGCTTGTGTGGCTTGTAGTATCTTGGTAGTGTCTGCTTGAAGCTTGGCAATAGCAGAATATGTGGTTGCTTGTGGGTTGGGTTTCTTTTGTTGTTGTTGTTTTTTCTTGAGTATGTCTCTTCTGGTAGGGCACCTGGCAGCAAGAGTATGGTGGTCATTCTTGCAGTTCAAGCATTTAGGTGGTGAAGCAGTAGTGCAATTCTTGAAGTCATGACCCTCACGGCCACAGGTGGAGCAGAACTTCTTGTCCTTGATAGGACAATCATTTGTGGTGTGTAAGTATGAGTAACAATTATAGCACTGTGAGATATGTTGGAATTTCTCTGCTTCGATGAAGGCTGGGTTGATGTGGAAGTAGTGAATAGCCAGGCCCGCAGCGAGAGCTCTGGCTGCCATGTTGATGTCACTGAAGGTCACCTTCAGTATGGATGAAGCATTGGGTATTTTAGTAATGAAGTCCACCTTGGCCCATGGGTTCTTTGCTTCGATAGATGACTTGATTTCTTCAGTGGCCTGTACAGTGATAAGGTTGTCGAGTCGCTTGAGGAACACAGTTCTCCTGGCCCTCAGTGCTGGGGAAGTCAAGACAAGAAATCCCTGGTCTCATAGAGTGGTAGCAGCAGTAGTGGTAAGTAGTTTCTCAGCCTCTGTGTCGTCTGTACAGACGACAACAAAGGCCTTCTTGAGTGATAAAATCGCATTACATTTGACTTGCAGCCTGCCACTAACGACAGCTGCAAGTGCTAGTTTGGACGACTCATTGGTTGTGCCATTTCCAGGACTCAAGTCCGGCTATATAAAAATAACCGGTTTCCCTGAATCCCTTCACAAAATATTACCCTGCTTACACTCCAACAGCTCGTCAGGTCCCAAAAGCCATTCATCTCCATTCACTCCTATATAACATGCTCACGCATGCTTGCTGGAAATCCAAGCCTCTCGCCCACAAAACCTCCTTTACCCCCTCCCTCCAACCAAGATGTATGACATATAATTCAGGTAGCATCATTTAACCCTTAAACGGTCCAAACAGATCGACGTTCAAATCCGTAGTGCTCCAAACGTAGATCTACTTTTTTTACATATTTTCGAACATAACAAAAAAACAAATGTAGATAAGTTTTTTTACACATTTTCAAATGAAAAAAAAAGATGATCTACATTTTTTTACATGCTTTCAAATGTTGAAAAAACGTATATACAGTGGACCCCCGGTTTACGATATTATTTCATTCCAGAAGTATGTTCAGGTGCCAGTACTGACCGAATTTGTTCCCATAAGGAATATTGTGAATTAGATTAGTCCATTTCAGACCCCCAAACATACACATACAAACGCACTTACATAAATACACTTACATAATTGGTCGCATTGGGAGCTGATCGTAAACCGGGGGTCCACTGTATACGTTTGGACCATTTAAGGGTTAAAAAGAAGGTGGAGTAAGATATGTTGATAAGAAGGGCATATAAATCTTGAGTGGATGTAAAGTGGTGTAAGGAACGTCCCAGAAATGGTTGAAAAAGGTGTGAAGTTTTTTTGAATTCAAGTCTTGAGCATCAAGAAATGAAGTGTGAGCATGTTAGATCAGAGTAAGTACAGACAAGTGAACTTTGGGATTTGATGTAGTGAAGGATGGGTTTAGATGTTATGGCTGTCTATCAGTTGAATTAGGATGTTAATGCACTAATGGAAAGACAGCCAGAGAACAAGTGGTGGTAAATGTATTTTCCTTCCTTGGTAGGAAACTGCTGATGTGTATCTAGTTCATATTTTTTATAAGTACTGAAAAGTATTAAAATATATATACAGTAATAATTTTTTCTTTTGTTCAGGGGATTCCATTAACAGATAAACACAAAAAGAAGCACCTGATGATCCCAGGGGACACTACAACATCTTGTGTCAACACTTCAACGTGCACTATTTGCTAGTCACCTTCACCACCTATGATTTACCATCAACTGCTGCCAGCCCTTGCAAACATGTAGGAATCACTGTCAAGTGCTGTTAATTCACAGTAGTCTATAAAAATCTTGTCTTTGCAAACTTATTCTATTCTGTAGATGGATACTATATACATTTAATTGGTCATCTTTCTCTAGTGATGTGTAAAAAAAATACCGTAAGTTGTGGTAATAATTCTTAAAAAAGTATTTCCACTGTTTTTAATCTTTAGTGCACAAGTAAGTGCTACAGCATAAAACAGATAATTACACATTGTGTTCATTTCACTAGAGTACTTTGAAAATATTATATGTAATGTATATTTTTAGTTGAAGTTTTGAATGTATTTTGATTTTGATGGATACCACTTTATTATGATGCTCAGAATGGTTTTGTTTGGCAAAAGATAGAATCATTCACATGAATTGTGTAACATATTTATATTATAATTTTATAAACTTTATTTTGCATAATATGAAATTCTTTCTTTCATCTTTCAACACACCGGCCGTATCCCACCGAGGCGGGGTGGCCCAAAAGGAAAAACGAAAGTTTCTCCTTTTACATTTAGTAATATATACAGGAGAAGAGGTTACTAGCCCCTTGCTCCCGCATTTTAGTTGCCTCTTACAACACGCATGGCTTACGGAGGAAGAATTCGTTCCATTTCCCCATGGAGTAAAGGAAATAAACAAGAAAAAACAGAAAAAAATAGAAGAAAACCCAGGGGTGGTAATATGTGTTTGTACATGTAGGGTTGTGGACCTAATGTAAGTAAAGTACAAGACGTCCCTGAAATTTTGCTTTTTCATGAGACAGAAAAAAGGACACCACAATCCTACCATCAGTAAAACAAATTTCAGGCTTTCGTTTTACACTCACTTGGCAGGGCGGTAGTACCTCCCTGGCGGGTTTCTGTCTACCCAACCAACCCTATAAGAAATTCATGCAGTTTTAATTTAAATGCAGAACGACTTTTCACCACCCCAATTTTTGAAGAAATTTTCCGAGTTTGGGGCTTGATCAGCTAGTAAAAAAAACTTCCACATTCTGAAAGTGTTTTTGTAAAAGTGTTTACCTTTTAGTTCTGCTGTTGAGAATGAGATATAATTGATGAAAAAGGGAAAATTTTGTGGAGAAATTTGACTAAAAACAAAGTTTTTTGAGAAAACTGTTTTTTTTACAGCAAACTAAAAGAAACAGTGATATTGGCAGTCAAAAATGTTTTTGGGGTTTAAATGGGTTTTGTAAAAAAAATTACACTTGTGATATGAGAGTGAAATTAATTGCAATATGTTTTTTGATGGGAAGAATATTTTTTTTTCAGGTTGGGCAAATCTTTTTTGGGCAACTAATATTAATTTATATTCACTGTTTATGTCTTTAAAAAAAAAAAAAAGGGTTTTACCCATAAGAGCTCTTAAAAAAATATTTTTTTTAGAATTTGCTATAAATTCTGTCTTTTGATTGCAGATTAAAATTTTCAGAAAAAAAGGGAAAAAATTTTTTATAAAATATATAAAATTCACACATGCAATGATAAAAATCACTTGACCAACTAAGGCTTAAGCACAAGATAAATTTCCTCAAACTTACGCACCCTGATTTATATATTTGAGTTAAATTTAGATTATTAACCTCGTGAGTTCTGGGGGTTATACTACTAGGGGGGATGTTGGAGATAATCGGGTAGATCAAGGCACGGAGGCACCTTCCTTTGAAGGTTAAATTGAGAGATTAATGCATTAGGAAATTGAAAAAAATCTATCCAGTGGTAATTATTTATCAAGCTTGTTAACAATATCAACAAGAAATGTAAATTAGTTTTATTTGGCACCACTATAAAAAATTTTTGGTGCCAAAATTATCGTTTTGTATATTGGATCTAAAACCCCCCTATACCTGCTACCAAAAATGTTTTATTCACATTCAGAATATTCTTTTTTTTTACTTGAAGCTTATTGAAATCAGGAAAAATACTTAAATTAATCAAAAATTATTTAATAGAAATGTTTGTTAATTTCCATTTGGGAAAAATAATTTTTGTAAGAAACAGCTGTTGATTGATTTGGTAAACTTAGTCATCCATTTTGACCGTCTTCCATTGAAATAGTTTTAAAAAAAAGTTTGTCTACTTTTTTAGTTTTTTTTTTGGAATTGTAAATACGTACATTGCTTTCTTATGGGAAAAGCATTCCTTTTTTTTTTATAACACTCCTAAAACTTAAGACCATATTTATGAATTTTGAAGTGTCAGTGGGAGCATCATGTGACTGAGGAAAAATTAAATTTTTTTTTTAATATGTGGGGGAAATACTCACCCATATGGGTCATGGGGAAGGGTAGGTAAACAGGTTTGATCCAGGAAAGGGGAGGCTAGCTCTAATTCCTTTGATCAAGAACCCATCACTAACAAAGGGAGGGGGGGAAGGTATGGACACTATTCAAATCATTGTTCATTTTAAGTATCTCATTAAAAGAACAATGATTAATTAAAATGTTAAAATATTTTTTGTGCAGTGCTAGTCATGGTAATGTGTGTCATACTTTTTAAGCCAAACTTGTAGACTTGGCTTATTTAGCAATTATCGTTTTGTCAGACATGCAAATAATTTATTTTGCTATAGCAGGCTTGTATGTGTGTTAGAATGAGGTGAAAGGAGGCTAGTGGTGTTTATAGCTGTTAGAATGGGAGCACGGCAACCTTTGTGAAGGGATTCAGAGAAACCAGTTAGCCAGACTTGAATTCTAGAGGTGGGAAGTACACTGCTGGTTGATGAATGATTGTGAATATGTTTCTTTTTGTACTTTGGGCCCTACCTTGGTGGGAGATAGTTGGTGTGTTTACATAACTAAAAGAAGTAAAGGGCAGAGGAGATGTCATGTTTGAGAGCAATATGTGGTGTTAATATCTTGGAGAATTTGTAATGTAAAATTTAGAAGGCAGTGTGGGGTCATCGAGAAGATAATTTATAGGGCTGAGGAGGGGGTTGAGGTATGTTAAGAGGATGGACAGGAATAAATTGACAGGGTGTATATACCTGGGGTGGAAGGTTGAGGAGTCATTTCAGGAATAATTGGAGGGAGAGGCTACAAGAGACTTTGAGTTTTTGGGGCTTGAGCATCCAGCAGGCTTGTGGGAGTGTGATAGATAGGAGTGAATAGAGACAAGTGGTTTTTAATGGATGTGCTGTTGGAGTGTGAGCAAAGTAAATTTTATGAAAGGACTTGGAAAAAACTTGTTACTTGGATTTGGGACCTGGAGGAAGAAAAGACAGTGCCTGCACTCTGAAGTAGGGGTGGGGATGTTGCAGTCAGAGGTAATCCGATTGTATTTCAGCACACTTCTGGAAAGATGACGATTGAGTGAATGTTGATGGACTTATTTTCTTCTATAGGTCACTGCTTGATAGATGACTGATGTGTTTATAACACATGCATTTTTGTAAAGACAAGTTTAACTACAGAATAAATGAGGGAAAAAAGATAGGTGGTAGGTTGAGGCATTTGTGAAAAAAGTTTTATCTTTGGAAGAAAAAAAAAAAGGAAAGTATTAGAGATAGTAGTACCAGCACTTTTATATGGGTGTGAGGCATGGGTGCATAGGTTTTGAATTTTGTAGCAAGGCTGTGACTGGAGGTAGTGGGGATGCCATATTTGAGAGAAGTTTGTGGTGTAAATATTATGCTGAGAATTTGGCATAATATATCCTCATCAGAGGGCTGAGGACAGGTTGAGCATTTAGAGGTTGGAGAGGGATAGAATGATGAACAAGATGCACATCTTGGGTAGAATGTAGGAAGGGTAGGTGTTTTCCCTGGAATGGTTGGGAGTAAAGGAGGATTTAAGTGTTAAGAATTTGAGCATCCAGTAGACATACGAGCATTTTAAGAGAGAATGGAAACCTAAAGGAGGGATGATGATGTTGCAGTCGGAAGGTATTCTGAACTACCATTTCAGTACACTTCTAGTAAGACGTTGAATGAATTTTTCTTAATTGGGCCATCCTGCCTTTGTGAGAGACAGCATGTACAAATAACTGCATGCATGCAGATACACTATAGTGACATTACTATTTTTTTATTAGTCTTTGGGTAGGTGGTGGAATACACTAGGTGAATGAAGCTGAACCCCAAATTTCACAAATATCATATTATGTCTTTGTGATATATTTTCAGATTTGTGCTCATTTTATTTTTGAGGCCAAATGAGGATATTTTAAACAATAACATGTGGTTAGTTTACAGTTTAAAAGTATTCAAGTCAAAACCATATAGCCATGATTGAAAAAAAAAACTCAAACAAGGGAGGCTTTTCAGTAGAAACATTGATAAGCAAAGGATGTGAATTGCAAAGCCGTGAGTTTTAGGATTCGACTGTAGATGTGATCAGGTCCTGGCAGCCAAGAGTCGGTACAGCTAGTTTACAAGAGTTAAGGGGCAGGGCCAGGACCTATTTTGACCCCTGAAACACAATACTTAGTATATACACACACACACACATTGTGTTTTTATGTTTTTTATTTTATTTTAGGTTACTAGATATGTTTAATTGAATTAATATGGCATGTAATTTTTTTTTTAAATTTGCCCCAAAACTAAACAAGAAGAAATGATAAAAAGAATTTGTTGTATAGCCTAACCCTACTCAAGTCTATACATATTTAATCTAAATTTAGTATGTAACAGTTATAAAAATGTAGGTACATTAGTGTAGGGAACTCAATGAAAGGGAAAACCCAAGACAAATACAAAGAAGAATGTATATGTCATCCTCCAGCTTAGGCCCTCTTGAGCAGTTACATAGGAATGAGAGAGACCAAATATTTGTGGGGGTAGGAAGCATGGGCAGTTCCTTTTTTGGTTGATTGGATCATCTTGCTGGGGTAGAGCTTCTGGGGTCTTCAGAGTGCTTAATGATATCTCATAGTATTAATTTTGTCATATTCCTTCAGAATTTTACTAAGTTATAGCAATTTTTTTTTTAACACATCTGCAGTCTCCAACTGAGGCAGGGTGACCCAAAAGAAACCCCTAAAGACAAAGAAAATTTTTTTATCGTCATTCAACATTTTCACCATCACTCATACATAATCAGTCTTTGCAGAGGCGCTCAGATATGACAGTTTAGATGTCCCTCCAAACTGCCAGTATCCCAAACCCCTCCTTTAAAGTACAGGCATTGTACTTCCCATTACCAGGATTCAAGTCCAGGTAACTAGTTTCCCTGAATCCCTTCCCAAAATATTACCCCGCTTACACTCTAACAGCTCGTCAGGTCCTGAAAACTATTCGCCTCCATTCACTCCTATCTGAAACGCTCATGCTCGCTTGCTGGAAGTCCAAGCCCCTCGCCCACGAAACTTCCTTTACCCCCTCCCTCCAACCTTTTCGAGGATGACCCCTACCCCGTCATCCTTTCCCTACAGATTTATATGCTTTTCAAGTCATTCTGCTTGTTCCATTCTCTCTAAATGACCAAACCACCTCAACAACCCCTCTTCAGCTCTCTGACTAACACTTTTAGTAACTCCACACCACCTAA